GCATCCTCGGGAGAGCTGGTGGAGTGGCACAGCTGATGTGAACATACAACTCACCCATCCATCATGGAAACATGATACTGTCTTCTAACACTTGCTGTTGATTTAAAACATATCTTGAATTCAGGTTAGGGAACCAAGAGGTAATTCTCATGGGAAATGCATTGCTTCAGATGTTTTAAACAAAGGGTCTGACCCTATAGCTAAGCCTCCTAGTACAAAGCAGTGATTTTCAAAGTTCAATTGCTTAAAAACTAAGTGTCCACAGGAGCTTTTATGTGGTTATTCTATTGCTATTTAAATTTAATTTACTATTTGATGATATATTAGAAATTGAAACTAAGAAATATTTTAAAAATAATTTTTAACATAAATTACATTTTTTTATAAAAAATGATAAGCCAAAAATATAGCAGTAAGGATAACTTTTAATATATATATTAAATTCTCATTACTGTCTGAATTGATAGAAGTGATTCTATTTGCTTCTGCATTCAATCAATTGCACTACGTTGTTTTGGTTGGAGGGTATGAAGGAAACCTGGTCTCTAAGTAATATAACTAGAAAAGAAGAGAATTTAATAATCTTTGCATGTAATTGTGAGTCTTCTTTGGTATTACACCAACACTTGACAAAGGTTGGTTGCAATGTGGAATCTGAAACTGTATCAACGAACCTGTCATACTCTGTGATGTAAAAATCCATTAGTTTACTTTCCCCTTGGAAAGGATCTTTAATTCAGGTTTGGTCCCAACACCCATTAGCCATTTGGAAAATATTGGTTTTCTTGGTTATGCAGACCTTCCAACACATTCCTTTTTACAATATAAAGTCTCATTCATAAATATCATCATCCATCTCATCAGAAAGGGTCTCTGGTGCTGGACATGCATATGGGGCCCACGGGATGGTTGGAATTGCCATTAGAAAGATGGGCAGATCCCATATCATGAGGGCTATGTGCTACACACCTTGAACTTTATTTTGAAACCTATCTGGAGACAGCTGTAATCACGTAGTCACACTGGCATTTTAGATACTTCATTCTGGCAGGTGTGTGGAGGCTGCATAGGAGAGAGCTGAGGATGAAGGCCATGGCGCTAACAGAGGTGAGACACGTGGACCGTTGGATGTTTGCAGAGATAGTAGGATTGGTACAAAGGATTGGTTAAAAATCCAAAAATCCCAAATCCACGTGGTAGATAAAGCACGGCCTAGGAGCAGGACTCTTAGCAAATAATGAGCCAATCCCTTTTCTGCCTGGCCATAAGCAGAAGCCAAATTCATACAATTCGCACTGTGTCCTCTCTCAGGCAGCCAATCAATCGTCTCTTTAAAAGCTTACTTTGGATTTCTGTCTCTGCTCTTCCCTGTTCTGGTGCAGATGAACGTAGGCTCCTGCCCTTCATTCACCCTGGCAGGAAGAAGCTGCTGGATCTGAGCTGTCCTGGCAGTCAGGGTGTCTCTGGACGGGTCTGCCTGGTTCCCAAGGCTTGCGTGTGGTGAGGTGCACCGAAGGGCCAGCAAACCTTCTATTTGCAAACACTCCTGGGGAAGCAAGCACGCTCATAGCTACAGCTCCCAAATGCCTTCTGCACCCACAACCTCTCAAACTTCTCTGACATTCTTCACCAACAATAGCTTCTTCCCCATGATTTTCTTTTTTTAATTTTTTAACAAATGCCTGGTTTTGGAAGCTTTGAATTCGTGGTCCCTGATTTCAATCTTTATGAAGCAGAAACAGCACCTGCCTGGAAATCAAAAGGCAAGCGTTCTAGCTACTCATTGAACTCACTGCTGCTTTCTTCTGGGCCCCTTTCCTTCTTTTTAGCAAAACCAAAGCATGTTCTAAAACTCAAATTCACTGTCTAGAGATGAACAAAGTAAGTCTGAGGGTAAGAAATGATACACCTCTAGAAATCACACGATACCCTTAGCCAGGTGGTTCAAGGCTTGAGAAATACTTCAGAATGTATGTAACTGGTTGCACAAGATTGTCTGCACTACAGGCATCAGCGTAAAAGCCACGGTGATTCAGAAAGAGGACACTATATTCAAAGGAAAAACGACTATCTCACACACACGGGAAGATTTAAGCGTCCCTCCGCCAGATGTTGAACAGGCAGACGTGCCTCGCACACATTTGCTCTAGGAGCATCCGTTTCCACATTCTCATCCTGTAGCTGGAGGAGGCTGAGCACGCCACGCCTGGTCCGTGGAGGCTTTCTGCTAGGCTGGCTTCAGACAAAGTTACCATTAACTCCCCAACCTGCAAGAAAATGATTTGACACAAAGGATTCCAAAATGTCCTCCTCTCCCCCTACAAGCCCGCAAACAAATGGTACAGGAATGAGGTCAGAAAGGACCGCCCCACCCCCACCCTCCCCCAGGCCCCTGAATTCATTTACCTACCTCAGAGCCCATTCAGAGGAAGGGGTGGGACCAGGAACAAGAGATGCGTGGAGGCCAAGTGGAGTTTGGGGGTCGAGCGCTACATTACAGGATTTGACAGGCCTTTGCCTGCCTTCAGCTTCTTTGTGTCTCTCGCATAATAGAGAAACACAAACTGAGCAGCACACGATCTGCGGCTACACCCTCGGACAGAGCACGCTCTTTGCAAATGCTAATAGTATTGTAGCATCCTGTCACCCGGGAACACAAAAAAGGATGTTGATTTTCACATGAACCAGAACAGGGCCATTGTACACAGGTTTGTGACCAACTTGTAGTATCTGCACATCAAAAGCACAGCCAACTGCGGGCACACAGCTGGCGAGCCGCGCTGACGGGGGCACCCAGGGGAGAGTGAGATCCAAACGCCTCATCCACCCATTCAGCAACAGAACAGTGCTCTCTCTGGAAGTGAGGGAGCTATGGTCTCACAATCTCGATTCAGCTATGACCATGGCATTTGGATAATTGGCAAGAACGTAAATGCCTCAGATACTTAAAAAGAGAAATCTAAATGAATGACAATGGGAATGGCTCTGGGCTGGTGAGAGTCTCAGATATGGCAGAGGCAGAAAAGTGAGGGATGTTCAATTAAGCATTCGTATTTGGATGTTCCCATACATGAACCAGACACGCTAATGTAGGCTGGAAAGGACCTATTTCCATTCCAAAGGTCTTGGGAAACTAGGAACTGTCAGGGCAAGAAAATTAAATAAAGACTACATTATGATATTCCTGAAAATAAATTCAGTTGCCACAGTAAAGGCTTCTGCTCATAGCTTTCATGTGTTAAATTTATGAGAAACAAAAAAGGCAGTCAAAATCTGGGAAAATAAAATCAAGGTATTAAACACTGGAGTCAAAATAATCCTGCATCTTCATAGTTGGGCTAATTAAAAAAGATTTAGAGACTCTGAAGAGGTAAGATGGGAAAAGCAACATGATTGACATGGTGAGGAAAAATTGTAAGGTCCTCATTTTTACTCCTAAGACTTGAGGACTGAGGTATATATTAGAGTAAAGCCCTGAATCTCAATATTGCCCTGTCCTCCAGGCCCTATGGAACTTCACATCTCTGCCATTTCCAGTCTAGTGATGCTATGAAACCTCACATCTCTGCTATCTCCACAGCCTCATAGAGAAAGCCACCCTGTGCCATTTCTGTGCAGTTAGCTCATTCTGCATTTTCTAGGTGCATCGCTGTACTATTTACTTTCATAAATAAATTCACTTTACTAAAATTCTGCTGCACACCAAAAAATATTTTTTTTTCAGATCTGACAAACAAACAAAAAAAAGGTACAATTACTATTAATTCATACGAGATGGCTATTGTGGTGTTGGCTGTGTGAAAGCAAAGAGCCACATGCTAACCTGACAAGCTCAGGGAAGGCCTGCATGGCAGTCTTGCAAACCCAGAGACCTAAGATAACCACAAAAGATGGTTTGAAAATTAAATATCTAACAGGTTATAGCAGGTAGTCATGTCCCAGATATTTCACCTGACAAAGATCAACTTTGATCTACTTTACTGAGCCATCTTTCTTCAGGCATCTAAGATAACATATCTGTGAGATGTCTGGGTAACTCGTAACTTCCTTTTTGCCCTGGACCCCTCAGGGCACAACAAATGGCCTCGAGACGTTCCCTCATTGTTATTGTTATCAAGTTAATTGTCCACTGTTAATTACGTTAGAGTATCCTGTATCCACCTCTATAAAAGACAAGCTCATGTCCATCTTTTAACCTTTTACCCTATCCCAGAGGTCCCCCCTCCCCCTTCACTCGGTCCCACCTCCCTAATCTATCACCAATGAATTTCATGTAACTCACCTACGCACCTTTCCTTTGATTGCAATGTATAAATATAGAAATATAACCCGCCAGTCTCCGGAGCATTATCTCAATCCGTTGATGTTCTGCTTCCCGACATATGTCGACAGTTTGGCTCAAATAAACTCACAAAAATTCTTTACAGGTTCCAATGCTTTTTTGTTTTGCTTTGTTTTTGTTAACAGCTGTCATTTTTTAAATTTGACATTCTAAGGGAAAAGACGTCAGAGCCCGACTAAATAATTGGCTATTGCATGTTTTAAAAATCATTGGTTGAAATTGCTGCTCTAGATTTGTTATTTCATTAATTTCAACATTTAAAAGGAAAATAAAAAAAGTTCCATGGGATCAATCCTAGATAAGATATGATACTGACCATTAAAAAGGCTCCAGGGGGATTTGTAGATGGATCTCAAATGTCAATGGGCCTTTGGTTAGGCGTTCCTATCCTTGGATTGGCTGCAGACTGAGGCATCTAGCTCTGTACCTTTTCTTTCAACAAACATCAGGTACCGCCTTCTCCTGTTAAGTGTTCCTCAGGGTAGCCAGGAGGCAGGTTCACAATTGTCACTGGGGGTGTTCTTACAGCATAGGTTAGACTTCTGTTTTTTTATGTTATAAACTGATCGGTACACAGGGTATTGGCTGGGCTGCACCCGGAGCATCACTGACTGCAGGTGTGAGAACTTTCACCATAAGCCCTCTAGTAGATGAATACATTTTTTTAAAAAATATATTTTATTGATATTTTACAGAGAGGAAGGGAGAGAGATAGAGAGCTAGAAACGTCGATGAGAGAGAAACATCGACCAGCTGCCTCTTGCACACCCCCTACCGGGATGTGCCCGCAACCAAGGTACATGCCCTTGACTGGAATCGAACCTGGGACCTTTTAGTCCGCAGACCGACGCTCTACCACTGAGCCAAACCGGTTTCGGCTGAAGACATTTCTTAACGGAGAAATAGTAGGCACTGCATTTTGTTAGTGACTTATGTGAAGCAGAATGGAAAAAGATTAAAAACAAAAACAAAACACAACTAAGGGAGCAGAAAAATGGACAGGCTCATCTGTTAAGAAGTAAATTAATTTCAACATCTGCTGGCAGCTGAAGGAAAGAAACAGGTAAGGTCTTGAGTTCTCTTTAACAGAAGGAAAGCAGCATATATATTTGTTTATAGAGCAATGGTCAGCAAACTCATTAGTCAACAGAGCCAAATATCAACAGTACAATGATTGAAATTTCTTTCGAGAGCTATATTTTTTAAACGTAAACTACTTCTAATGCCACTTCTTCAAAATAGACTCGCCCAGGCCGTGGTATTTTGTGGAAGAGCCACACTCAAGGGGCCAAAGAGCCACATGTGGCTTGCGAGCCGTGGTTTACCAACCACTGGTCTAGAGCAAGAAACTTAGCTGTCATTCAATTATCTAGGAATCTGTTCTTTAGTGAAACTTAAGTGATATCAGAGACATGTCATTGGGTTTTACTTCTCCAAAGTATATTGTGCATTTTCTTCCAATAGGTACAACATACAGCATTTGTGGGCGAAAGCCCCAGGCATGAGAGAAATTAAGAGGTAGGTAAAGGCAATTCCAGGCTATTTGCTTTCTCATGGTTGAACCTAATTCACAGATAAACTTTAGCAAAACAAGAAGATGGAATTAACGTGTTCCCTATATACTTTCACAAATGTTAGCAGGTTCACAAGCTTTGGCAAGCGCCAGATCATATAAACCGTGACCCTATTTTTGACAAGTGGCTAAAATTCTCATTTCCATGTTGTTGCTAGGTTGCTATGTATCACTCCAACAGTGAGCAGCAGAATGGACACAAATCCTGGAGAAGGCACGTCCACCTTCTGCCTCATTTCACACATCAAGTGATCAATATTAATAAGCATCATTTATGAACATAGTTCTAGGGGGAATAGAAAATGAGAAATGCAAGAATCAGGTAATAGAACTCACTGATATTTAAGGTTACTTCCAGTATTAAGGCTCAGTTACGCCTTTTAATCAGCCTCATGTATAACTAACTGAACATGTTGGCATCATTAGTGAAAATGCTGACGATAGCAGCAAAATATAATTTAAAAAACATTTTTGATATGTTTTATTAAGAAAAAAACCCCACCAAAATGTTTTGACAAGTATCAAGACAGGAAAGAAGGCATCGTGTGACCATATGATTACAGCTGTGAAATGTGAGGCCCGTGACATGAGTGCACCCAGAGTCAGAGGAGCCGCGTTGAGAGGCTTGCTATGAATCTGGTTATACTGTGGGGTCCAATGTGCAGAGGTGTCTCTGTCTCTCTCTCCCTCCCTCCCTCATTAACACAGAGAACTCTTAAAAGATGCTCTCTTCAGATAATATCTTTAATTACTAATCTACACAAATGACCTTCAAATAGGTACAACATACAGCATTTGTGGGTGAAAGCCACAGGCACAGGCAAAAGATAAGTTGCAATAACATCTACATGTAGTATGAAGGTTTAAAAAAATAATACAAAGTTCACTCACAGTGATAGTAAAAACAAGGTTGTTTTAAGAACTGAAACACAGCCATGATTGTTCAAAAGGTAAGCATATTTGTAAGCACATTTCCATACGGCTAAAGGATCTGAAACTAGAGCTTATACCAGCCTAGAGAATTGAGATAAAAAACATTGATCCCCTTTACTGGAAAACTAAAATACCATATTTCTTTATACAGACCAATCAATCTAAAATAAATAGGAAATGATTAAACAAGGGATTTATCTTTTTAAGCTGTATCCTGAGTGTTATCCTATGTAAAGTTCCCAAATCTTAAAGGTTAGGAAGCTCCAGTCTCTGCAGTGTTCCCCACTCACTTTTACTCTATTCATTTGCATTTGGAGGCTGCTGTGGGAAGGAGTCTGCTGGAGCAAAGGCTGGAAAATGGGGATAATACAAAGCGAGCAGACAATTAAGCTACTAACAAAGGGCGATTGCTCCACCTACAAGTACAGCTCGGATGGTTCAGCCACAAAGTACAAGAACCTGTTTCCTACTGTGCACTGCCTCCAGACCGAATGTTAAATTGAGAGCCTGACTGAGTATATTTTAGGTAATAATTTATTTCCAGTTGTTCAATCTTCCATACACAGCTTTGTTCACTCTATTTTCTGGCAAATCCCAAATAATGAAAAAACAAATAATTCCTAGTCTAGTTAGAATTTAACCTCTGTACATTGGATTTCTGAAGTGACTCAAATCTGTCATTTGTAATTTTTGAACTACAGACACAACACAGAGGATTTACTGTTGAGAATCAATTTTATTTTCTTATTAACATCTGCTTTTAGTAAGTACCTAGCTTCCAAAAAAAAAGCATGCTTAGTATGAGATCAGCAAAAAAGAAAATATATATATTACCCATGAGAAATGTCATATTACTGCGGAGGATGGGAAAACGTCTGGACTCCTACATAGGACTTTTAATAATATTCATTTTTACCATCTATTTATATATTTAAATTACAAATACTGATCTCAAAGAAATAAGGACACCCTACCCCCTTTCTTAAATTTATTCAAGGAGATGGGATAAAAGTACTTACTTAACATCAGCCCTTTTCTTGGGAGAAATCAGTGGAAATGCAAATGAGGGCATTTTTTTCCTATCTAGAAATAAATATGGTTCTATTTCCTTCTTGATTCAGAAATAGATTTGTAGTTGTAAAGTTCTGTACAACTAGAAAAGAATTAATAATTGCATGATGTCTGCTTCAGTGCGGGGTTTACCTGTGGCCAGCACTTGTTGGAGGAAATTAACTAGGAAGGTCCTCTCACAGGGGAGCCCCCTTCTCTTTCACATACGTTCCCTAAATCTGAGACAGGAAATGTTCTTGCCCACTCCTCTACCAAGTACAATGTACTGCTACCAGCTGCTGAAAGCTGGGTCTGCCTTGCTCATGGAACGGTGTAAAACAAGTGTTCATTGGACTCTAAATTTCTGTCCTTCATGATTATCCTTCAAACTTGCATTTTAAGTATCAGATCTTGAGAGAAATCATGGTGAAGGACATATTAATGCTAAATTTAAAAAAAATGTCGGGTGGTAAGGAAATGTTACCAAAACACAATTCCAAAAAAATTGTAAAATTAAGTAAACTGTAAAATAAAAACTTTCACACAATGGGTATTTTTATTAGAATAACAAAGGTAATGAGATGGCAGCAAAGAGCAGAGTTAAATGAGAAAGATACTTTAAATAAAAAATAGCTTATTTCTTTGCTTTAAAGCCCTTTAGCCAATAAGAAATATTTATAAAACATGAAAATGCTGTGAGGGTGTTATTGTAATTGAATTGCAATAAATTAAATATAATTATTTTCCTTTAAATGTTCAGTTAAGAGGGAGATAGTCAACATTATTCTAATTGTTGAAATAATTTCTATTTAAAATAGTCATATGAAAGAAGGCCTTTTCCTGATGCCTAGGTGAAATGTTTGATGATAGTCTAAATGTAATTAGTCAGCTGATTATTCTTAATCTCCCCTATTCTGTGTCACAACCCAATAGCTCTGTCAACAGGTAAAAAAAAACACTGTTAACAGAAAGCCTAGCTTAAGTATACAACATCCAAAATAAATGAATTTCAAATGGATACAGAGAGTACAAAAACATCAACTGAATCAAATAGGTAAGCTGCTAGTGCTTCGGCTTCTCTGCAGGGCTGAAATCTTTTCCACTGAATGTTCATAGAATTATAATCCAAATAACCCTATTTGAGGGGCTCTCTTGTTAATTTTCTTCCATTTGACGAATATAAACTGAGTTATTGTGGTCAAAGAGTTTCTGGATATAGAACACTACAGATACAGACAACTTAGCGGGTTACCATCATTTTATATACAGTTGATAATTGTTAGAAAATTGCTGTAAGTTTTATTTAAAACACCTAGCATTCTTTTTCTGGGAAAGACACTGACGTGGAGTTACATTAGCTAATGTATTAGTTGAACTAGTGCCACCACAAGTGAGACAACAGGCAGGAGAGCAAGTTTCTTATCTCTAAGGACTGAACCTAATGGTCACACCACTTACATTCCCCAATTTGTCACTTCTATACAATAAAATAGGATGCTAGTGATTTACCCTGCTCTTCTGTTCAAAAGGCAGCTGGTGGTGTAGGTGCCTCTAACACACATGAGTGATTTTTACCCCATGACTTTATTTTATGTTTGGAAAGGTGGGATAGCAGAAGGAAAAAAGGCAGGAAAAGACTTTGGAGTTTTCATTCTTCATATATGCCGAGGTGATGATATAATAAGTAGGGTTCTGTAAAAATAAACACATTTGATAATTTTAAGTCTGGGGAGACATTACTGAATGATCACAAAAATACCAATGCTCAACTGTCTAAGTTTGTAATGTGCTAGTTTTATTAAATTTAAAATATACTATAATGAATATAATTTCATCAAACATGATATATAAATAAAAAAATACTGCAGTTCATTTCTTAGAGAAAGAAGTAAAAACATAGCATATTAAACTGATCAATAGGAGGAATGGACTCTATGTATGATAGTGATGGGAATAAACATTTTCAGCAAGTATCAGAATTAGTTATTTACTTAAAATAAGCAGAGGAATTCAACACATGTTAAAACTACCACTGAGAAACTATTCTTTAAGATGCTTCGTAACTTTTATAAAATGATCAGAATAAAGCAAGGCTACCGCTTTGCTAGATTTATTCTTCTAAGTGAATTTGCAAGGTAC